AACCATGCGAAACTCTCTAGTCGGCAGATGTCTTCGCACGATATTGCCGCGCCCGCGGCCTCACAACCCTCTACGTTTGCGGTTCCGACCAGGTGAGCCCCACCTTGCGCCGCTACTCTACCACTGCGGAGTCTACAATAGCTGGAATGTGGCAATGGATTAACCGATGTCTCGACTAGTACGGTACGGCGACCGAGACGAAAGCACTAGAGGAGGGCGTGACCCCCGAAGCCCTTTGTGCCAAGTATCACGCAGTTCACAAGGATATCTACGACTGGTTTGGCATTGAATTGTGAGTGTCCCCAGATGCGCTCTCCAAACGTACAGCTTCCCCGGCGACTCTCTCCGGCATACCCGATCTGTCGCCACATCCTCTACACCTTCAAGCTCTGCAAATAGTTCAGTTCTCCGGTTCTAATACATGCGCTCTAGCGACGTATTCGGACAAACCCCGACCGCCCAACACACCCAGATAGTCCAGGATATTTTCTCTCGCTTGTGGGAGAATGGTTTCGTGAGTTGGCGACTTGGACATGCTGCGCATGGACAGGGCTGACTTATGCGACACTGAAAGATCGAAGAACGAGAGACTATTCAACCTTACTGCCCCAAACACGACAGCTTTCTTGCTGATCGTTTCGTTGTGCGTATCACTCCGGCCAAGCTGAGCGTTAGATGAGATGAGACGGAATCGTATTTGCTAACAAGCACTTGGCATAAAGGAGGGCGAATGCAGTAAGTGACCATATGATACTTGATGCCTCCTAATCTCGACACCCGATATGCCTCGTAGTGCTTGGAGCCTTTCAATCGCGCAAGTGCTGACCCAAAGCCAATAGGCATCTGCCACTACGAGGATGCCAGAGGTGATCAGGTAAGTCGTCATGCTTTGATCTGTGGGAGACCTAGTATGTGCCGCGGTCGCAGGTGTCTAACGTGAAGCTCGATGCAGTGCGACAAGTGCGGAAACCTGCTTGACCCACTTGAGCCAGTCTCCGTGGACGGCAGCGAGGCGAAAGGTACCGGAACCGGATGGCTCTTGAAGGTGAGAACACCGTGACCTAAACCCCTGTCGGTACTCGATTTCTAATTCATCGTAGCCTCGGTGTAAGCTAGACGGAGAGACGCCCGTGCCCCGGAAAACGAAACACTTGTTCTTGAAACTCGACGCTTTGAAGGATGACATTGTGTCTTGGTTCGAGAAGACGAACAAGCAGTGGAGCGCCAACTGCATTGCCATCACCAAGTCATGGATAGATAGAGGTCTCCAAGCTCGAGGCATCACGAGAGATTTGAAGTGGGGTGTACCAAGTAAGTCAAAGCCTATTGACTCCGTCTGTATTGATGTCACACGTAGATTAGATCGCTAATAGTCAACGCCACATAGTTCCAAAGGGTCTCAAGGGGCTCTCAGAGGAAGACTACAAAGACAAGGTCTTCTACGTCTGGTTCGATGCTTGCAGTACGTCATTGAGAGCCCTGCTAAATCTCGCGTATTCCTCGTTGCGACAGGTCTACTTACTCTCATCTCACAGTCGGATACCCTTCTATCACCAAGACCTATGTATGTCACTCGCGCACTCTCGTTGGCAAATCCTAACATGCGCCCAATTAGACCGATGGCGACAACTTAGACGGCTCAAATTGGGAACAGTGGTGGAAGAATCCGGATAACGTCACCTTGTACCAATTGTAAGCTCTTTGCCGGATGGACTTGGAAATACGTATGCTAACAATGGATTCAGCATGGGCAAGGATAACGTACCGTATGTTATGTGCACTGGATAGGAACGAGCAATGGGGTATAACTAACTTGTGCATAGATTTCACTCGATCATCTTCCCCGGCTCTCAGCTCGGCACCCACGAGCAGTGGACCAAAGTAGGCAGGTTCTCGACAACCGAGTATCTGAATTACGAGGGCGGGAAGTTCAGCAAATCAAGAAACATTGGTGTGTTCGGTAACTCTGCCAAGGATGCTGGTATTCACCCCGATGTTTGGAGATTCTTCTTAGTATCCCGACGGCCCGAAGTAGGCGACTCAGAGTTCAAGTGGGAGTACGTTGTTCGATTCAAACCCAAGGAAACCCTTCCCCGCTGACATCGCGACTTGTAGTGAGTTCATTGCTGTGAACAACAATGACCTTCTCAAGAACTTGGGCAACCTATGCCAGCGTGTGATCAAATTCTGCCATGCCAAGTTTGATGCTACGATACCCAACTACAAATCTTATACCAACGAGGCGCTTGACGCACACAAGGCGGAGACCAATGCTCTCTTGAAAGAGTATAACACGGTTTTGGAAGAAATCAAATTGCGGCAGGGACTTTCCACCGTCCTTCTTGTTTCCGCACTTGGCAACAAGCTGCTTCAAGACAACAAGCTTAGCAATCAGCTGCTCGCTGAGGACCCTGAACGCTGCGCTGGCGTCGTCGGTCTTGCACGTGAGTTATTTGAGGATGTCTCGACATTCACAGCTTGTATGATGCTGACCTGATACAAGTCAACCACATCCATCTAGTTGCCAATCTTTTGAGCCCCTTTATGCCCGGCATGGGTGAGTAGTTTCTATTCCCACTGCTTACATCTAAAAGCTACCATAACTGACTGGCACGCCTGTATAGCAAAATCCATTCTTACTCAGCTCGGCCTGCCAAAGGAAAACCAGGTATTCTCCATCCCTGACGTATGGACAGGCACGACACTCGAGGCCGGTCAGAAGCTGGGCGAGCCAGAGTTGCTGTTCTCCCAGATCCCGCCCGCGCGTCTCGATGAATGGCGCGATGCCTACGGTGGCGATGAGCTCAAGAGGCAGAAGCAACTGGCCGCCGAGCAGGCCGCAGCTAAGAAGGCTGAGAAGGAGAGGAAGAAGGCGGAGAAGGCGGCCAAGAAAGCAGCAGCTGCCGCCGAAGCTACTGAAGCCACCAATGCCGCTGAGACTGCGGGTGTCGAGGCTTCGGCAAAGGTTGAGGTGCCTGATGCTGTGAAGCCTAGTAGCTAGACGATGGGGATGTAGATACCTTACGGAGCGGTCAGATTGCGAATACGGGTCAGCGAGCATAGGTGTTATTGCTGTTGCTCTTTTGTTGATAATTGAGTAGACTGGTGAGCGACTCGTGAGATAGAAAGGAGCATAAAGGAAATGCTGGTATCTGACGAGTTGCTGTCAATAACAATGCCTCGTGACTCCTCCACTCCAAGAAGTGACGCAGAGCCTGTTGCCGTATACCTAGTTCGAGACCAACAAGGCCGTTGTACTTCCAAACTGTGATTCTGATTGATCATACCCGTCGCACTACATCGTCCACTATGCATCCCGAACGGAAAGGGCAATCGCATTGATTGGCTCCCAGCGTTGTGCCGGACGTTGCTGGACCTTCTGGGTACCTACCTATACCTATTGCCCCGCTGATGCTGAGACAGGCGAGCAGGCATAACGTCACCACTGAGCACGACATTGAAAGCAACTTACATCTTCACCTACTCCTCCACTCAGGCTCTTGACAGATCAACAAGACAAACCACTACCACCTCCTAGAGTACACACTGCCTTAATCGTCTTCCCTCGGAATTGAGAGTGTATCCCACCATGCCGTCAATCCTCATCGTCGGCGCCACGAGGGGTCTCGGGGCCTCGCTCGCGAATCAGTATGCTGGCGACTCAGCCAATACTGTTTACGCGACAACTCGATCCGCCTCTCCTTCTGCCGAGAGCGGGGAATACAATAAGAGCATCAAGTGGGTTCCTGGCATTGATCTGTTGAAATCCAGTGTTGGGAGCGATCTCGCGTTCAAGTTCAAGGATAAGGGGGAGTTGGACGTCGTGGTATGTCAACCTCAGCATGACTGACTATATAGTGGCGATAGTGGCTAATGTGAGGATTCAGATCATCAGCGCAGGCGCATTCATGACCGAGGACTTCAGCAACAGCAAGGAGAAAGGGAAGGGTCCGAATTGGGACAATGAGGTTACGATGTACACCACGTCCTCCATCGCTCCTGTGTTCATCGTGCATTCGCTTTTCCACCAAGGCCTCCTCAAGTCAGGCGCGAAAGTGTGGGTTCTTCTTGTCGTTTCATCTTCTAATCGGAAGGGGTTTGGAAAACTAATGCAATGCAGGGTCTTTGTTTCGAGCGAAGCGGGCAGTATCACCCTACGACATGAGAAAGAGGGAGGAGGCAACTACGCACATCATGCGAGCAAGGCGGCTTTGAACATGGCTGCCAAGCTCCTGAGCCTTGACCTGAAGGAGAGTGGTGTCGTCGTCAGTATCGTGCACCCTGGGTTCATGCGCACCGAGATGACCAAGAATGTGGGCTTTGATAAGCATTGGGATGAAGGAGGTGCTGTTACGCCCGATGTGGCTGCGGAGAGTCTGCGCGAGTGGGTTGAGAAGTTGGACATGAGCAAGTCTGGCGAGTATTGGGCGCCGAGGGGTCCTAGTGAGTATTTTTCTTATGTTTTTGTTGTCTCTGAGGCAAGCAGTGAGCTGACGTGGGATTGAACAGGGGATATCGGCATGGCGGAGACGGTCATGGGCGAGAACCTCCGCACGCCTTTGAAGTTGCCGTGGTAAATAGGAGAGGCAAGACTTTAGTATCCCGTGGCAGACCAACGGAGTCAGTTAATCCGACTTGCAAGTTATGACAGGAGCAATATGATTTGGGAGACTAGAGATGTATGCATCGTCAACATTGATAGAAAGAGACGCGGACCATATTCTTAGTGATCCGAATCAAACGACATGACAACCCTCTCAATCTGTTCTTCGTCACATTCATCAACTTCCTGCACTTTTACACGTATTCACGATGAGCTTATCTGAACAGATTTCATACGTGTTTTTACTCGACTTTCGAGCAATCAGTGTTCATCATCACTCCAGACCAGGAGAGCCGTCGGAGCTTTTTACAATGACCTCTCCGCGGATCATCCGGCCCATCATGATCTTCATAAGAGGCATTAGGAGATCCCTCTCACAACGAAACACTAATAGAAAGGTCGGTTAGCTCAGTCGGTAGAGCATCGCAATTACATCAATCGCTCAATGTGAGAAGTACTGCGAAGGCCATAGGTTCAAGCCCTATACTGACCATCGTATCATCTTTTGGACGTCGGAACCTCCCAAGGTGGCTGTTTCCTTTTTTTTCCTCTTCTTCTCTAGGTTTCTCTTAGCGGTTGTGTAAGAAGTTTGTTTGTCTTCAAGTTTAGGTTCGTCACAGTGTAGAACACATACATCCTATAAATATATTTGCAGACTTGCAAGATTACTGTACTGTCTTTCACACGGGGTATGAGATTGCAATTCTCGCCAAATCCATAGTGACAACATGCTTGACACCAGGACTAAATCTGCAACGATGACGCAGGAGAGACAGCTTTGCGATAGCGCCCATGAAGTCCAATGCAGGTTCTATTTATTTCTGTACTATCTCTAATCGTTTCAGGTCTCCGAGATTTCCAATTCTCTACTTGACAACCTCCCCTACGGGTCCCACGGCGAAACTGCCCGGCGCCCAGTCAATGGCACACCACCATCTTCTGTGACCAAGATAGGATCTTCCAGTCTAACACCGAAGCCCTCGTCCTTTCCGAGTGATTTCGCTTGCTCATTAGTCACGTAAATACCCTGCATATCTGTAAGTGAACTCGGCATGCCAGGATGTCAGAAGAGGGGTACTTACTGGCTCATTTGTGACAACCACTCCAGCTCTCAGCTTCTCTTCGTTCGCACCGTTTAAAAAGGGATGCTCATGCATTTCCAATCCTAATCCATGTCCAAGGCGATGCGTGTAAAACTCTTTATAGCCAAGTTTCTCAACAGGCACTCTAGATGCCGCATCCGCGTCGCGACACGTCTCGTTCGGGAACATCTTTGCAAAGCCCGCGCTCTGAGATTTATGCACAGTATTCCATATCTCCATCAATTCATCGCTGACGGCACCGCCTACCGGGAGGAACGTGCGCGTGACATCGCTGCCGTAGCCGTCTAGCACGCTCCCGATATCCAAGAGTATGAACTCACTTTCTTGTAAAATCGCGCCTCGCTTGCCTCCATGCGGATACGCGGCCTGGGACCCAAACAGAGCAATCGCCCAGTATCCCTCGCCAACCCCAGCACGAGCAAACAGGCCATGACCAGCAGCCACGAGGTCCTCTTGCGACGTGCCGACCTTGATACACCCCTGTATAGACCGGACAAGCTGTCGCGTGAACGAACTAATGCCCCTCATGATATCAATCTCTGCGTCCGTCTTGACAGCACGCAACTGCTTGACCTCGAGACTCATAGGGACCACTTCAATGCCGACATCTTGCAGCCCAGCAGCGATCATATGACGCGCATGCTCATCGATCATGACTTTCTTCAATGAACCTTGTTGCTCTTTCAGAACTTGGTACGGATTGCTTTCCTCCGCCCAGGAAATAGCGGCAGCGTCGCCATCTCCTTCGAAAACCATGTGCTGCGACGATGGGTTGATACGTCCAGTCTCGAATTGGGGAACTAGGTATGAGAATTCTCCCGACGACGATAAGATGCTGAGGAATGGGCGCTCGGAGAGATGAAATGCAGAGGATATGTTGTGGTAGTACGTTGATGAGGCGGATGGCTCAGCGATGAATGCGTCGACTCCCGCATCGCGTAAAGCGGCAGCCAGCACATCCTGCCGAGTGAGAAACTCGGAGCGCGTGATCGGTGGCACGGACAGTAGTGAGGTGTGTTCTGAGAGGGACTCCCACGCGCATGTTTCCAAGGAGCTGGCGATTGAGATTGGCGCCTCTGGGGTTGAGATGCGAGATGAGTAGTATGGCGTTGTGAGAGTGATATACACAAGCACCAAAATGCTACAGGCAAGCTGCAGTGAGAACCAGAACCTCGCGCGCCGGTCCCGGTTAGAAGTCAGAGGAGGTGGCGGCACGGGCGCTTCCGGCATTGTCCCGTGCTTGGTGTCGGTGGCCATGCTGCTCGGTTGGGTGGTTATTAGATGTGAGGGATGAATACCAGGGCCACGGCTGTCTCCCATCGCCGGTATGACGTTTGGTGTTGCTATGGGTTAGGTACATGTATTCTGTGGGCCGAGCTCTACATATGTCGCATATTCGTTATCGCGACTCCGCCAACTGATCCTTCGCTCCCGACCTCCTCCATCCTCGAGCTCAACGAGGCCTTTCCACATTCCAACTCTTTTGTGTCCGGTGCAAAGATGGCGTTTTTGATCGAGTCTGTCACGATGATATCGGCCCAACGCGTGGCATTCGGCTGGCAGGCTGGAACAATCTGCAATTGTTGACAATGGCTCTAATGTGATGATTCCTAGAGACGGCAGGTTCTAATTAAATAATTCACCGGCGGTGACATTGATTGTTTTCAACAGTTTCGAACTGCAATCTCGCATCCGCAAAGACGTCGAGATAGGCCAGCTACCAGACATAGTCGCCAAGGCCTCCACTTGTATACAGCAGGCCAACATCTCATCTCCGCAATCCCACATCTTCATGTCAGAAAGCGATCCGTCCTCGGTGAGCTAACGGGATCCCGGATGAAATTGGCGTTCGCCGGATTGCAGATGGCTGGATTCTATCCGGACAACCTTTCTTGTACTGGATGGCTAGAGTCTGGGCCGTTTGGGCATGCCAGGGGATTGAACAGCCATCTATGAAGCATACCTTACCTTCATCGTGTTTGAGCGCGGCGGCGCCCGTCAGTTCTCTTAGGCTTGTCAACTCATCACTCCCTATCAGATCTCCATTTCACGATAATATTATTAACGCCAAAACGTGGTGATACCAGCGTGATGGGAGGTAGAACCTCTCCATTCGCCAAGTTCACGCCGACGTGGCTTGCCAAGGAGCTAACTAGCCCCGAAGCACAGTAATTCTCCAAGACCACCGAGGGGCGAGATACACTCCCAGCCAGAATCGATCGCACGTTCTTCGACATGGCAACTACCTGCCGCTTTCGGCAACACTACATCTCTTGGGGAGACAGGACCCTTACGGCAGGACGCAGCACGTGCCGGACGTATGGTATCTAAATTCGCGTTCCACACACGGGCACACTTGAAACCCATGGCATAGCGGTATCGTAGCAATGCGACATTCGGCGGCGTAGACTTGAAAGGGAAGTTCGACTTGACAATGGTTTACAGACTGTTGAGCATCGCGGGCACAAGGACGAATGATGCAGTATATAAATGGCCATGGCTCCTCCGCGTTTGTCCCAAGATGAGAAATGCTATTCGTGCAGTGTAGCTTTGTGTAGTCTCAAGTTCAACTCGCGGATCATCTCCTTCTTCAACTTCTTTCATCACGATGCAGTTTGCAACCACCATCCTGGCCCTGGCGGCCTTGATCGCCCCTGCATTCGCTGCACCCGCTGCCCTGGAGGCTCGTGCTGCTACCACCTGTGGCTCGACATCCTACACTGCCACTCAGGTTAACCAAGCCGCCCAAAAAGCTTGCTCATACTACACTGCTGGTACCGTATGTCAACGCTTCAGTGCCGAGTTACATCTTGAGTAAATCTTTCTGACTCTCACCTAGACCGCCAGCGACTACCCGCACACCTACAACAATTATGAGGGCTTCAGCTTCAAGGTAGCAGGACCGTACCTTGAGTTCCCCATGCTCACCAGCGGCGTCTTCACTGGAGGTAAGAACGAGAGTCTTGTCAATAGAGAAAAGCAAAAGCCTCTTACTGACGTTATGACATAGGCTCACCCGGCGCTGACCGTGTCATCATCAACACAGCTTGTAAGCTCGCCGGTGAGATTACACACACCGGCGCAAGCGGGAACAACTTTGTAGCATGCTCCCCATTGTACTAGAGTGAGAAGGTTCTTTGAATATGGAGATATGTTAGGCCAAAGCGATTTACGAAAAAGGTCTCAGTGTTTAACATATTCAAGACAGTGCGTTTGGAGGTTCTTTGATAGCTTACATTTATGACGACTCGATGAATACATGGATCTTAGCGAATATGAAAACTACACACCCACACTTATTCCCATGTCATTATTTTCGCCATTGTAACTAGCGAGCACTTTTATATTGAAACTCATCCGATCAGAAGAGCTAATCGACATGACCGAATAAGGTGACAATTATCAAAAAGGTGGTGTAACCGTAATGCCATAAGCCCAATTATATACCCAGCATGTTTTGAGCCTGGATCTGAGATCTAGCTACCATATTTCAACAGACTCCGAAGCCAAACTCGACGACAGCATGTTGTGTGTGCGATTCGTCATTGGCCAAGAGCTGCAGTCTCTCAGCTCGTGTCCCCATCAAGCCTCACTTCCCTTTCCACTGCACCTCAACGGCATCCTACCTTCACGACGGCAGGTCCCGGCCGAAGATACACTCCAGATGCAACGTCAATCAATCGCAACTGCAATTAGCACACCACCTCAAACATGTGTGCGTTATCGCTTTCATTGGCGTCCGAGTCCTGATATGTCCAAATGAGGAAGGAAACAAGCCTAGGTCGGGGTGCCAAGGCTCTTAGTATGGTGTGCATAGGGACCCGGCAATGCGCCAGCACCTAGATCTTGGCAATGCCGCAGCACCAGGTTAGATGAGGATCGTGAACTGATCTTGAATGGACAACATACTGATTATCGCGGGAAGTATGGCAATGGTATTAAGTTAGTATCTATTGCTTGATATCTTGACTTTGACTTACGCTTGGAAGAGTGGCCCTGACGCCTTTTGCGAAGCATCGTCCACGTCTATATACAATAGGTACGCTGTCACCGGTCACTTTGTGAGTTGACCTGCTCTTCTTCGCGATCTTATTGTCGATGAGTTCTTCAAGTAACACTGGTCTCGTTTGCAAGATATACGTTGCGGAAGGACGTGGCTAGCCACTTTGATTCTTATGTGACCAAGTTCTTGACAGGACGAGTGAGCAAGGTACCTAACAGTATGCATGAGAGGTCGTTAACACAAAACATACGTGACTAACACGTTGAGTAATAAGTGCAAATACCTGGTAAATGCACCTTGCCGTCTAGGCAGATGTCTGCATCAACTAGATTTACCTACTCGATAGGCACACAAAGACTACGAGTGCAAAAAGAACAAGACAATGGTCAGTATAGGGCTTGAACCTATGGCCTTCGCAGTACTTCTTGCTTCAGAAGAAGAAGTGAGTGTAATTGCGATGCTCTACCGACTGAGCTAACCGACCTTTCAACTTTGTTGAGAACATTCAGTTGTAATTGTGTTAATGAAGGTCAAGTCGCGACGGAGCATCCGCGGAGCACCTGGTCAATCTTCGGGCCTGTAACGACTGACCGATGACTGTGATTTTGGCCAGTGTTGCGGCAGAACATCACAAAATATTTATTAAATGCTGATGAGCTTGTATCATGTTTCAATATGCTCCGATATGGGTTGAGACTGTTCTGCGCTCCTCTCGCTATTCACAGCAGGAGCAATATATTAGGTACGCACACTATAAAGTAGCAGAAGGCACTACGCAAAGCCACAAAGCCTTGTTCAATTGGCTCAGTCACCCGCAGTCTACACTCAATATCAGATTTTAAATGTGGTCTGAAGTACTATCAAGCACATCAGTTTGGTAATTCGTCTTTCATATTCGTATCGGCTATTACATCAGCGCAGTCCTCTGCGCGAGTCCTACTGGACAATGTCGAACCTGCGCTCAGCCAACTCAGCATCCAGACTTGAACTACTTTATCGCACACTACGGGTATCAACAACTACCTACAGCAATAGTGAATATTATCAATGGCACTACCTTTCTTGCTTATTATATCATTCTGGAGATAGAGCAGCGCCCGAAGGCCGAGAAGGCCGAAGTGTCCTAAGTTTTCTTCATGGGATCGCAGAGTGCCAGTGCTCACAACATTGAGTCGTTCCGCAAATCGTACCCGCTCGTCAAACGTCAGCTGTCAATCGAACTATCAGAACTTGCGATGAGATAATTGCTAGCAAATTGAATGTGACTCTGTGTATTAGTTTATTTTAAAATTAGCTCCTAATCATTAAGTTCCGATGTACAACAATACCGTAGGTTCGCCGGTTTGAATGTACACCCGACTGGAATACCTTGAGGCTTGAACATTGGCGGCAAGGTGAAGCACCGCAGGATGGGATCGCTTAAGCTCGGTCAGCACAGCTGAACGATTCCCGCAGCCAGCCCCAGACATGTATACCGTAGATTGGATACTTAATCTTATCAATCTTGCAGCATACGAGCGGAGGAGTTTGTGGGATGAGTGTGCAAGTCGGTGATAAATCACGCTCTCGGCGTCCGTCGGAGACAACTGTGCTCAAGTTGGGTAAGGTCATCACGGACAACCGCGGTTTTCCCAGATTCCGTACCACCAAGGACAAGTGCAGCCTCCATCGAACTGTAGTATCTTTCCGATCTGATTGCCAATACTAGTGAAAGGGTTAATGTTTGACGCAGCATGTTACAAATCAACGATGGCATGGTCACATCATGTAATCGTCTATCAACAATGGAGACCCTTGGCATGGTCTGGTATATAAGACTACAGTCGTCTCGATAAATGGCCTTCAAACAACCACAGTATCGCAACGATCACAGTCAAATAGACCTATAATTCAATACAGAACCCGAATACTTCTCAGCAAGCAAACAGCATGGCCCCAACAAACACAGCAGCATGGTACCCATCCAGCCAGGCGCCAGCTCTCGAGATCGGTCCAACTCCGTACCCGACTGCCAACGCCGGCGAGATCATAGTCAAAGTCGCCGTCGCAGCCTTCAACCCAGTTGACTATAAGATCCAGAACCTAGGACACAATCTCTTCCCCTTCCTCAAGTTCCCCTACATCGGCGGCAGCGACATCTCAGGGACCATAGTCGAGGTCGGACAAGGCGTTACTCGTTTCACGCCCGGCGACCGAGTTCTCGGCGCGACTCTGCCCCTCGAAAGTCGCATGGGCGCATATCAGCACTACGCCGCTCTCCCGGCGGTCTTGGCTACTAGGCTGCCTGACGATGTATCTTTCGAAGACGCAGCAGTGGTCCCCTGCTGCTTCGCAACCGCCGCGGTAGCGCTCTACGATCATTTGTCTCTCTGCCATCCCACCGTTCCACGGGCCCCCAGCAATGGCAAAGCAGTCCTCATCACCGCGGGAGCGTCCAACGTAGGAAGCAATGCCATTAAACTTGCAGTAGCCTCCGGCTACGAGGTCTTCACGACTTCTTCTCCATCTAACTTTGCGCATTGCGAAGCTCTCGGTGCTAGAGCGTTCGACTACCACTCCGCGACAGTGGCGCAGGAGATCAAGGATGCGTTCCAGGGGAAAGAATGTGTTGGCGGTTTCGCAGTGGCTGACAACTGCGCTGCCTTGGTATTCGATGTTGTGTCCAGTCTTGGCGGTCAACGTGTTGCTCTGACGCTGCCCTATTCCGAGGATGCTGTTCCGAAGGGTGTAAGCGCTCGATTCATACAATCTGGTGATGTCGTGAAAAATGGACTTGCTGATGTGCTTTTTGATAATTTTCTTACTGAAGCATTGGCAAAGAAGCAGTTTGCTTTGCAGCCTAAGCCTGAGATTGTTGGGAAGGGCCTGGAGTCTGTTCAGGCTGCATTCGATAAGCAGAAGGCCGGTGGGGTGTCTTGTAAGAAGTTGGTTATTTCGCATGAATAATGCTGAGATGTCGCGGGGTGTCCCGAAAATGGTGGCTATCCAACCTGTCGGTTGTGTATGCGCTAGAGCATAGCATGAGCTACGTCGATTGAACGAAAGGGGTTCAAGGGGTGCCGTGACGAGCATCAGCCTGATGTCAGTATGAGATTTCAAGACCTAGATTGATTCAATCTGAAATACCTCGTCCGTTTTGAGCATCGGCTCTGAATCTTCTGGTTCTCCCTAGTTACGAGATTAACATGCGTCGAACATCATCTCAAGCTGCACTGCCCCTTCAACCCATTGAGATTTGCTTCCATCAGCACATGCACAATCCCCATCCTGCTATGCAGCCCCCAAAACACCAAATTCAGACCATCCTCCATAAACCAACTCCCGAAAGCGCCTTAAGACCCATCCGTTTCTGTGCCAAATCTCCAGTCTGCGGCGCATCGAGCTCCTCAAAAATTGCATTCAGTCTCCTATCTATTAGCACATGTGAGTGTCTTCGAAGAATCTCTCAATGAAACTAGCTTACCATTCAGTGTATTCATCTCGGCAATAGTCCTAGGAAATCCCGCAATCACCGAATTTGTACGAACAGAGTGTAAAAGCGCGATAGGTAGATTCCGTGCTTTTACAGTGCTGTTGCGCATGCGAGCGCGGTTATTGTGTTCCCTGCCGTGTTCTATTATCAGCAAATACACTTTGTTGAACAAGGGCACAAGTGAGGTAGAAAGAGAGAAAAAGCAGACGGACTCAGCGCGAACACGCGTTTCTAACATAACCAGCTCATCGTGGACACGGGTTTCCAATGCCTTAATCTTGCGATTCATATTCGCCTCGAAACTCTCTAAGCGCGGGACCACAGCATTCAGTGTCTCGACGACGGCGTTTATCACTTCGTGTTGACGTCTGATGGCCTGTGCAAGGCCTGCGATGTCTGGGCCGCCGAGGGTTGCCATGACTGTGCAATTCTCTCAGTGTGCTTTCGACGTGCTGCAGCTTGCAGGTGGCTTACAAGCTCCCATCGCGGAGAATGATGGGGTTAATGTTTTTATAGATGGCCAGAGGTGTTTTTGTAAGTCTTCGTTCGTCTGTGCGTTTCTATCCCGGTGAAACACTGTTGCTGATAGAGACGCGCTGGTGAAAGGGGCAAGACATTCGGTATAAAAGTTGTCGCAAAACTGCATAGAACTCTAATGACACAGCGCGAATCGACAGGTACGAATCTAGTTTCACTTGGCCAATGCTCATCTAGAGACAAATCAACACTCGTAGAGTGAAGACGAATTTGACAAAGGAACTTTATCATCTGGATCGAACCACCAAATTTGACGACAAGCCATTTGACTTATCACATCTAGTATCAGTGCACCATACAGCCTGAGGCCTCACACACAGCCCGAGATCTCCCTCCATCCTCCCAATAGGGCTCTCCCTCTGCCAACACACCCTACTTCTTCAAATATCGCGCCATAGCCCTTTCCCGATTCCGAATAACGTTCTGCACCCTTTGCCTTTCAATCTCCTCGAAGTTCTTACGTCTCGCCTCCTCCATCGGTGTCCCCTTCTTCCTCTCCCTGTCCCGAGTAGTCGGCGGAGGTGCGAGCTTCTTCTGCTGCTGCTGCGACGATTTCGAGCGAGAGGCTACGGAACGAGGAGGGTGCGCCGACGAGGATGATGTCGTTCGTTTCTGCGAGGGCTGAATATCATAGCCTTGGCGAAGGGACTGGTTTTTTTGGTTGTTAACTATGGTTGTAAATGAGGAGATTGGAGGGACAGGGGAGGGATAGGCATACATGGAGCTCTTTTTGCATCCTCGTCTGCGACTTCTCCAACTTCTCGACTGCTTTGCGCATATCGTTCATTGTTACAGGAACACACCCGAATCAAACAGCAGGGAATGAAAAAAAGAGGTTTGGATTGCTGACAGAAAGCGGCAGACGATAGATATGAGGATACTGAAAGTCGAAGTCCAACATTGGTATATAGGGCCCAAATTCATCTTCTCCAACCTCTTAACCCAGTTGACCCTGTCGACAAGTCATGGATGTAAGTCAGGATTACCGCAATCGAAAGTCAAAAAATCGGATCAGCCCGGGAGATATAGCTTCACCCCTACGTGGACCCCCGCATCCAATCACTCTGTCACACGCTTAGTGCAGTTGAGAACGATATCACTGCAAGTTCAGTATCTTGATAGTTGTACCTGCATCAAGGGGTAGGTGTATCTTAACTGTCGCATATATTGGCAGCAACATGATCACACTCACTGACCACAAGCCCCACAGGATCTGAATCGATGCAGGTGCGATGTCGATCGAGCTACGCGGTACATGTGGAAGTCATATATTGTTTGGTCCATCACTCACACGATCAACCGTTTCCGACCCAGAAGGGACACAAAGCATCGTCATCACGTACGTCACTAGCATGGCAAGAAAGGCTGGGGTTTATAATGTTTAGATAAGGCGTGAGTGATATTCTAGGATCCTTGCCGTAAATCGTGACAAGAAAATCATATGTGAGGAAACTCCTTCCTTTTGGATCATAGAG